TGCTGGAACTGTTCCCGGATTTCGGGATCAGTATGAACGCTGCCTTATGTATGAAAATATGTCACGGTTTTTGGGGTGAATCTGCATCCATCACTGATTCAAAAGACTTCCTTGTCTTGTCTAAATCTTTACTGCAATAGTACGTATCCATTGGTACAACGTTGCGTTGCTTAGTCAAATCCTCTTTGAGACCATTTTTGAGACCATTACATTGGCAAAATGCCGCATCGGGAAAACAAAAATTCTTAAGCATGCGTTTTTCTCAGCAAACGCTTGCTACTATGCTTATTGAACTGTCATGCACTGAGGAAAAGAAGGATAGCTGGCTTCTGTTCAAACAGAAAGTTTGCCGTTTTTCTGCTATTTCGCTTTGACCTTTATCCCAACCTCAGACGGAGGGATTACTCAAGTGATGGTCAAAATGGAAATTCGGCAGAGCCCATTGGTGCAGCTATCGCAACAGTGATCCTGAAAAGCTCGTGATTATAGCAAGTCCAAAGCACTTCCAGGCGCACCACCTGTGACTCGAGAATATGGCTGGGGCGAGAAAGTTTTCGCACCTCGCAAGCGAACTACAGGCTAGTATCTGTAAAAGTACCTTAATACCCTTAAAGGTTGACGCAGTGGTTACCATCTTGAATGATGAGGAGAAGAAGGAGTATATGAAGCTTAATGAAAGAATCAAGGTGAAGCTTGACGTTAAACTCAATTAAATTTTCTGTACTAAACGATTTGTTTACCAGGAGAAAGAGGACGAAATGTTATCGAAGTTCATGCCCGAGGAGGAAGAAGAGGAGGAAAAAAATTAGATGTTTGATTCATCGTAGTAGGCTGTTGCTAATGTTATGCGGAGTAATAAAGTACGAGCAGCTTGGCCTGCCGTTACATTTGGTAAAGAAAAAGTCGAACGTGCTCAGAAGTTTACATTACCCTTATTATAGTGCGTTTTCTGATACTAAAATGAACATGAAAATTAGAACCAGAACATGCACGTTCTGCACAATAAATATTTAAAACAAATTATTTTGCCTTCATTGCTGATTGAGTTTTTGTTTAGCGCATTTGTCTTATCAGGTGGATCCAAATGTTCGTGCCGTTTTTCAAACTTATCCCAAAATTACTCGGAACACTGATAGACAAATGGATAGTGTTCGATGCAGAATCTTTCTCTTCCTAACAGTCATGCTTTTGTTCAGATTCCTTTGATGTACGCACAAATAATTACCAAAATTTTAATCCATAGTTTTTA